TGGCTGCACCTCAGAGGTGACAGTGTTCATGTTTCCTACCTGAGCTTTTCTTCCTCTCCTGCCCAGGGTAACTTCTCCATGGGATTGTTTCTTGCTGAGATACTTGTAGGGCCACTGAAGACATATGTCCCGTGGGGCTTTTGTGCATCACAGTGCTTGTTCAGAAGCGAAGAGCTCATTATTTTAACTGCTGGTGGTATGATAAGTGTTCTGCAGAGCGTGTTCTTCCTTTTAATATGCTGACAGAGATCTGTTTTGCACAGAGCTGGGCACTACCACCCTGCACACCACTGTGGTGATGGTCCCCAGTGCCCCTGGGCTGTGTGAATGGCTGCAGCAGCTAGGAGGTTATCATCTTTCCATAAGATGCCTTACTCACCAAAGCACCACTTTCTAGGAGCCTGCCTGCCACAGAAGGTCCCCAGCTGTGCATCTGGTGGGTTCATTTAAAGGGCTTGAATGTACTTAGTTGATGGGTGGTTCCCCTGAGACCATATGGCCAAAAGCTGCCTTTCTCCTGCTGAGCCTGCACTCAGCACGCAGTGTGTAAAACACGGGCTGCTCAAGTGCTAAAAGATCTCAAATGCATTCCTGCTGTGCCCCAGATGATACTATGGAATTTGGGATTACTCCTTGCTACATGCATGACTTGGGTTAAGGGAGATGAGAAAAACATCAGACTCAAACTGTGCTTCATCTCATGATGTCTCTGGGAAGTTTGGAGAGCTGGAAATGGCTTTTCCCTGTTAGATCATAGAATCATAGAATAGTTAGGGTTGGAAAGGACCTTAAGATCAAGTTCCAATCCCCCTGCCATGGGCAGGGACACCTTACACTAAATCATATCACCCAAGGCCTCGTCCAACCTGGTCTTGAACACTGCCAGGGATGGAGCATTCACAGCCTCCCTGGGCAACCCATTCCAGTGCCTCACCACCCTAACAGGAAAGAATTTCCTCCTTATATCCAATCTAAACTTCCCCTGTTTAAGTTTTAACCCATTACCCCTTGTCCTGTCACTACAGTCCCTAATGAAGAGTCCCTCTCCAGCATAGGCCTATAGGCCCCCTTCAGATACTGGAAGCTGCTATGAGGTCTCCTCTTCTCCAGGCTGAACAGCCCCAACTTTCTCAGCCTGTCTTCATACGGGAGGTGCTCCAGCCCCTGATCATCCTCGGGGCCTCCTCTGGACTTGTTCCAACAGTTCCATGTCCTTTTTATGTTGAGGACACCAGAACTGCACACAATGCTCCAGGTGAGGTCTCACAAGAGCAGAGCAGAGGGGCAGGATCACCTCCTTGGACCTGCTGGTCACGCTCCTTTTGATGCAGCCCAGGATACAGTTGGTTTCTGGGCTGCAAGCGCACACTGAAGCCGGCTCATGTTCATTTTCTCATCAACCAGCACCCCCAAGTCCTTCTCTGCAGGGCTGCTCTGAATCTCTTCTCTGCCCAACCTGTAGCTGTGTCTGGGATTCCTTTGGCCCAGGTGTAGGATCGCAGGTGGCACGCTGGCAATCGCAGCAGTTCTTACCAAAGGCTGTGTTTGGGGGTGCTGGATTCTGCAGGGCTGTGGAAGGTTAGTGCTGTAAAATGGGTTCAGGAATGCAAGGGTTTGTATCTCATTTTTAGTTCTTTTTCAGTTGAGTTTGCACAAGTGAGTCCATGCGAGAGGCTCAGCACTGACAGCTCTTACATCTGATGGGCAAAGAAGGGGAGATGCTGCTTGCACAACCAACCCCAGGGATTTGCAGGCTTGCTTTTGCTGCCCAGAGGATTGGGTAGCGTGTGAGTGGGCATTCCTTTAAATGCCCTGCTTAAAATCCATCATTCTCTGGATGTTTGTTCCAGAGAATAGGACAGAGCAATCTGAGTGCTGCTGAGTGTAGCTGTGGGCACTCCGCACTGTTTTCAGATGTGAGGAAGAAGCTTAAAGCAATGGCCTGCTCTTGAGAGACTGCTCGGAGCCCTTTGCTGGAGAGGAGGTGAAAGGAGGCAGCTTGTCCTGCAGAAGGGTGGATGTGACTTGCTTTCCATTAAACATCAGCTTCAAAGCCGAAGCCTGAGGTCTCCACCGCTGGTGCTTGTGGGGTTATTCTGCAGTGACGACAATGAGTGGAAAGGACTTTGAAAGCCCTCTGAAAATCCCTGTGAGTTTTAACTTCCCTTTGACGTTTCTCCTGCAGTGCCCTGTGTGTGCTGGCTTTGAGGACAAGCCTGGGCACACTCCCTGGCCTGAATTTCCCTCCTGAAGCCCAGCACTGAGGAGGACCTGGAGTGTTTGAGATGCACTTCTTGGGTGCAGGGACAGCAGGGCCATGAGCAGTAAATGGCTCTGGGCAGGTCCATGTCCCTCACGGGTACGAGCTGAGCTTTCCTGGGATTGCTTGTGTTGGAGGATTCTCAGGTTTAGTGCACAAAGCAGAGCCTTCCCCTCCCTCCTTCAGCAGGTATGGCACTACCACATCGATGGGAAAACCTGATTTTCCTGGCATGGAGGACCAGTGTGCCTTCTGTGGTGTCCTTGGCTAAAGCAGCAGCTCACCTACAGAGCCAAGCCCGCAGACAGCACACACAGCACAGGCTGCCTGCCTGCCCTATGTGGGAAGCTTTCCAGATGGGACAGCCCGTGCTGGTCTTTCCTCCTGTTGCGTTTCTCCCTTGGTAAAGATTGGAAGTAGATCTCAGGCTGCAGCAGCGCATGGGCAAAGGATGTCCCTCCTCCCTGTCCTGTTCTGTAGGTTGATGGTGGGCTGAGGGCTGGGTTGTACAACCAGGGCCTGCCCACAGTGCCCAGCAAAACACAGCGCAGAGATCTTCAGAGCAGGGATTAGTGGGCTGGGTTGCTCCAACTTGTATTTGGAAGCATTATAGTTGTCTTTAGGAGGTATTTCGTAGCAAGGCTCATTCTGAGGGCAGAGGTGCACTGGCAATGATACTGCAGGCAGGTTTGCACAGCACTGGCCTTCATGTTCCTGCACCTGCAGTGTGGATCCAGCGTGGAAGACCTCTGCATGGTGAGGGAAGGCACTCGGCATGCAGTCAGATGCAACAGCAGCAGATGCTCTTCTTTGAGCCAGATCAGTTCCAGCTGCTCAGTCCAGCAAAATCAGCTCTTTGACCCTCAAGTAATGAAAGCAAAGAGGAAGCTCTCTGATTTCCTGCTGTAAGGGACCTCGTCTCACGGTTTCATATGGCAGATAGCTCAAAGTGATGATCTTGCTCGTGATGGGGAAAGGAGGAAACTGCTTGGACGCCAGGGCAGAGCCGCCCTGGGTGCTGGTTCTCATTCCTGTGCTTTCCTTCTTTGTATTCTTGTTTCTTTCCTTGTTACACTTAAAACAGTTCAAACTTGCTTAAAGGATCAAGCAGGGAATTCCCTTTCAGGAGCTACTGGTGGGAAGGAACACTTCCCTGTGCATGTCAGTGCAGGTATGGATGGACTTGCTGCAGAGTACCAGGGAAGCCAGGAGCGTAGCCAGGTGTCAGGTGAGATAAATCAAGTCTGTAAGCAGTAGATCCATGAGTAACTTTGGAATGGGATGATCCAAATGTAACCACCAGTTCTGATACCCCTGTCCTACACAGGGCGGGGGGCACAGAGCTTGTAGCAGTGGGGGTGTCCCAACTCTAATGCTGTTTCCACCAGGATCTTCTTCATTTCACAAACCATGTGGACAATGCCCTCAGTGACATGGGTTAGTGGTGGCCTTGGCAGTGCAGTAGTGCTGGGCTAAAGGTTGGACTTGATGACCTTAAAGGTCTTTTCCAACCTGGTTGATTCTATGATTCTATGAATTACCTGAGAAATTGGGGGGGGGGGGGGGGGTGTTTATGCATTTCTGCATCACAGGAGCCCTCCTGATGGTGTTGCTGGGGGAAGGGAGAGCCGTGGTTAGTTATAGCTACAGTGCAGTACATACTGTGAATGCTCTGGGCTGCTTGAGATGCTGAAGAAGTGAGGTTGCTGTTCCTGGGTTAGCCGGAGCCTGGCTGCAGTCCTAAGGGAGGACACACCGTGGAGGTGCTTCCTGGCTCCTCCCCAGCACCCGTGTTGTGTTTCACTTGGCTGCACATACTCAAGGGAACGCTTTTCCAGGGGCATTATCTGAGAGTGATACCCCTCTTCTTTCATGGATCACTGATGGTTCTGTGCTGGCTGCCTTGGAGAGAGACCTGGGAAGGTGTCTCCTTCCTTCCTGCATGTGGGAGACCCAATGAATGAAATCATCTCACATTCTCTGTTAATTTCCTCGTCTGGGGCAGTGCTGCCTTGTTTGCAGGGCTGAAGTGTGGTGTCACATTCAAATCAGCTGTTTTTTACTTTGGTAGCAAACTACTTCCTTGGGGATGTGAAATCCAGGGCCATCTCCATGTGCAGCTCTTGGCTCTTCTCCCTATCAGTGTGTCTAATGGCAAGGTCCTGCTGAACTAGCACCAGGGCTGCAGGAGCCAGAGCTGGTTCATGGAGAACCACAGAGAGAATGATGCAGAGCAGGCATAGCACTGACAGAGGTACAGGGGTATATTTATATATGACCTTGGAAAGTAAGCCAGCCCTTGGCATCCCATCCCAGTCAATCAGATGGGAGGTATTTAAGGGCTGGGTGTTGCTGCACAACAACGTTGGCCCACGTTTCATGCAGACATATCTGCAGGCACAAGTACATGTGAGCAAGGGTGCTGTGTCATCAATCCCAGCTTGCTCTTAGCTTTGTTTCTCTGGGACCCTTCTTGCCTCTCTGAAAATCCCATGTATTTCCACTGCACACACTCAGTTGCTTTCAAGTGTACTATTTACACAGGGATGGGGACTTTGGACTAAATTTTCCTACTATTGGAGAACTTTAGTCCAGGATTGGACTTCTGGGCTTTTGTTACTCTGTGCTTGGAAGGGCAGGGGAGGACATACATATGGCCCAAAGCAGTACCTCTGACTTTGCAGTGTCCCTCTCACCTTGTAATGCTTGTACACTAACAAATATTACCTTGTTTTCCCAGGGAAGGGAATGAACCTGGGGATTCCATGAAAATCACCTACAGTGAGTTGCTGCACAAGGTCTGTCAGTTTGCCAACGTCCTCCGCAGCCAAGGTACGCTGTGTTGACTACTCGGAAAGCATCAGAGCAGGGCTTTGGAGGAGACTGCACCCATTCTGGGTGTGCTTGCCAGCCTGTTGAGTCATTTCATGCAAGATCAATGGCTTCTCTCTCTGCTCCCACAGTTGATGGGTGCAGGTTTGCTCCACAACACACTTTTGGAGGTTAATCTCTGGCTCTGAGTGTGAAAACTGATTGCTGGTGGTTATGGCAGCTGTACAGGGAAGAGATCTGTGCTCCAAACTTCCTGCTCTGGGATTTCCAGTGAGCAGCAGGCACTGGTTACATTTCTGCCTTCTTCAAGGGGCTGTGTCCAGGGAGAACATGGAGTCATTGCAGTCGTCGTAGAATCATAGAATCACAGGAATCACAGAATAGTTTGGGTTGAAAAGGACCTTAAGATCATCCAGTTCCAACCCCCTGCCATGGGCAGGGTTGCCTCATACCAGACCATGTCACCCAAGGCTCTGTCCAACCTGGCCTTGAGCACTGCCAGGGATGGAGCATTCACCCCTTCACTGGGCAGCCTGTTCCAGTGCCTCACCACCCTCACAGTAAAGAACTTCTTCCTTATATCTAACCTGAACATCCCCTGTTTAAGTTTAAACGCGTTACCTCTAATGGCTCTTACAAGAGCTTCACTGAGCTCTTACAATGGCTCTTACAACAGCCATTAGATTTGAAAGGCAGAACCCAAGGCTGGCTAGCTCTAGAACTTGAAGCTTTATTGTGTGCATATAACTGTTGAGTTTAAATCATCAGTTTCTTTCTATACCCTGTTCTTTTGACATGTGACATGTTCATTTTGACAAAAGCCACGTTCCTTTTGCCTTCCCAGGTGTGAAGAAAGAAGACCGAGTTTCCATCTACATGCCAATGATCCTGGAGCTGGTTATAGCCATGCTCGGCTGTGCCAGGATTGGAGCTCTGCACACCATTGTGGTAGGAACCAGCCCTTTGCATTCATCTCGGTGCTGAGCTCTCTGAGGGGGCACCAGCTCTTGTTTTAGGGAGAGGAGCTGCAGGGATGGGTGCTGACCATGAGATAGATGCATGGAAACTAGGTTAAGGTGCTGCTGTTTCTTAGCCTTTTTCTGCATTAACTGTGAAATAAGTTCCTTCAGCTCTCTCTGTCCGTGACGGTGGTATCATTTACTATGGACGAAATGCAAAGCTGCTGCTGGGTGTTCTGGGTTGGGGGTTTTGTGTGTCCTTGCTGACTTGGTTGTGTTCTCTGTCAGTTTGCAGGTTTCTCAGCAGACTCCCTTTGCGAGCGGATTATTGACGGCAGTTGTTGTCTCCTCATCACAGCAGGTAAAACATTCATTTGTGCCCCTGAGCCACTGTTGTTGAGGTACAGAGAAGGGCAATGGAGCTGGTGCAGGGCCTGGAGCACAAGTGTGATGGGGAATGGCTGAGGGACCTGGGGGGGTCAGTCTGGAGAAGTGAAGGCTCAGGGGGGACCTGATCGCTCCCTACAACTGCCTGACAGGAGGATGGAGCCAGGAGGGGCTGGGTTCTGCTCCTAACAAAGGACAAGAAGAAACGGCCTCAAGCTGCACCAGGGGAGGTTTAGGTGGAGCTGAGGAACAATTCCTTCCCCAGGGGTGCTCAGGCATTGGAACAGGCTGCCCAGGGCAGGGCTGCAGTCACCATCCCTGCAAGTGTTCACACATCATGGAGATGAGGCCCTCAGTGCCATGGGTCAGTGGTAGCCTTGGCAGTGCTGGGGTAAGGATTGGACTGGATGAGCTTAAAGAGCTTTTCTAGCCTGGCTCATTCTGTGATTCTACCATTGCTTGTCTGAAAGGACTTGACTTTAAAGCCAGATGCTGTGGAACTGGCAGAGGAAGGGGCAGCGATGTGGCTGAGCCGCCACAGGGCGGATGTGCTGCTTGTAGCTGTGCTCAAGGGCTGCTTTCCTCCTGAACACGCAGGGAAGCACTGAGCAGCCTGCCCACTTGGGCCTGTAGAGCATGATGTCACCAGCTGCTAATAACGTGTTTCCAAATGCTTCTCATCCATGTGCCTCTCAAAACCAGCCAGATGTTTGCAAGATGTATCTTTTATGGAGCAGTCCTTATGTGAGAATTCCCTCCCTTCCCAATTTCAGGGATATTTATGCTGCACTTCTCAATCTTGTAAAGCAAGGGATTAAGAAAATGGGAGTTTTGCATGTAAGCCCAACTGCATTTCCCAACTGGTTTTTGCAATACTGCAAGAAATAGTGGTTTTATTAATAGATCCATGGCATGGAAAGGACCCGCTAAGATGCAGTCTGTGTTCTGGCTGTGTTGGATTATTTCCCACAGAATATTCCCAGCAGACTTGTTTCGTTAAATAGGAACCTCTCTCAGGGAAGGAGTTTCCACCATTACTCTTGCCATTTGTTTTCTAGGCTAAAAGGGAATGTTAGAAACCTTTCCCTTCAGCTGCCTGTCTGCTTTCCTCACTTCAGTACATGAACTCTGCTCTGCCCTCCTGGAGCTGCCTGTTGCTTCCAGCTGTCCTAGGCTGCCTTGGCGCTGAAGCCCCTTTAATGTTCTCCTTTCCATTTTGCAGATGCCTTCTATCGAGGGGAAAAGTTGATCAGCTTGAAGCAAATTGCAGATGAAGCCCTCCAGAAATGTAAAGACAAGTAAGTTTGGACTCTGGGGTTTAGGGATGCTGGGGAGGGACTTTCATTAGGGACTGTAGGGATAGGAAGAGTAACAGGTTAAAACTTAAACAGGGGAAGTTTAGATTGGATATAGAGAAGAAATTCTTTACTGTAAGGGTGGTGAGGCACTGGAATGGGTTGCCCAGGGAAGTTGTGAATGCTCCATCCCTGGCAGTGTTCAAGGCCAGGTTGGACAGAGCCTTGGGTGACATGGTTTAGTGTGAGGTGTCCCTGCCCATGGCAGGGGGATTGGAACTGGATGATCTTAAGGTCCTTTCCAACCCAAACTATTCTCTGGTTCTATGATTCCCTTCTAAGAAGGGCATTGCTGCTGTGGAATCTGCTCCTTCACCATGGGCAGAGAGCAGACTCTGCAGCAGTTCAGACACGAGCTGCGCTACATTCACGAGTCTTTTGAAAGCAATACAATGCTTTAACTCCCTCATCTTAAAATTACCATCTTTTAACTTTCCTCTTGTTCATTCTGACCTCAAGGCCCACATATTGGATGAGGGGATGTGCTGAAGACAAACTGATCCACTGTCATTACAGCCTGTGGCCTCACCTGCCTTCCTTTATCAGGGAGGCCAAGAGAACATTGTTCAACTTCCTAACCTTTATTCACCTTTGTGAATACCCCATCCCTGGCAGTATTCAAGGCCAGGTAGGACAGGGCCTTCAGCAGCCTGGTCTACTGTGAGACAGCCCTGCCCATGGCAGGGGTTTGGAACTTTATGATCTTAAGGTCCTTTCCATCCAATACCATTCTATGATACTATGGAAGATTGCCCAGTTGTGCAGCAGCAGCTCTTGGAGTGGAGGGAATAATGCAGTGCCAGTTGTGAACAGATGGACACAGTGTCTTGGGGCATGTCAAGATGAGGCTTAAATCTTGCTCCAAAGCCACTAATTCAATAATAATATAATAAAGCAAGTTTGGGAACTGACTGTGTGAACAGGAACAGGCACTCCAGTGGCTCATGCACAATGTGTGTGCAGGATCTGGGCCTGGCTGTGCCTGCCTATGGTGAAGCTGCTTTATTTTATTGAACATCTTCACTGAGCTCCTGTAACCATACAGAGATAGACACATCTACCACCAGATCTTACAGAAAGGGAAATGATCATGGTGAAATGACTTTGCCATGCTTATAGACAGTATCTGCATAGTGTGTATGAGACTGAATGTGGTCTGGTAAGTTAGATCAGCCATGGACATCTATGCCAGATAGTCTGTGCATGTTAGAAATTCAAACTCTTAAAGCATTTAAAACACTAAAACCTAAGTTTGTATGTCTGTAAAAGTAGGGACCTGGGAAGACAGGGGTGATTTTGAAGTTGCCAGTTACCTGATGGGGACAGGATGATGGTACGTTGAAAGGGCTGGAGGGAGATAAGGGCATTTTGTTTGCATTATAGGTAGGCTGTTTGCCCTCCTGAGGGGACAAATGTCTGCTCTTTTCCTTGATGTATAATGTGGCTTTGGAAGCATTTCCTCCTTCTGACTCAGTCCATCATGCTTAGGGATGGGGGCAGCCATCTCCTATCTCCTGAGTGCTGTGGGAGGTCTTATTCATGGTCACAGATGGGCAAATTTGGGATCTGCACGGAATTTCCCCAGCACTGACCTGTGAGAGGTGCTTGTGGGATCCCGTTTCCTGATACATCCCCAGTGAGGTGTTTTCCTTTTCTCCAAGCCCTGCTCCTGTGCCTGCTGTCCCTTGGCAGTTCATGGTGCCTGGAGCCTGCATGGCAGCACATGCTGTAGCTCAACAGAAGCTGCTCAGAGCCCCTGCTCTGCCTCCAGTGCTGCCTGTGAAGGGCAGACTTAGCCCTTGACCAGCCTGATCTGACAGCTCCTGCCTTTTAACAGGGGCTGCCCTTTGAAGAAGTGCATTGTGGTGAAGCATCTGGGGAGGGAAGAGATAGCGGTGGCTGGGACATGCAGCAAGTCTCCCCCTCTCAAAAGGGTGTGCCAGGATGTACAGGTATGCTCCTGGGGCTGGGAGGGGAGATTTTATTGCTATGGGCCTGAGCCCAGAAAATCAATCAGTGTAAAACCACCACACTGCTTCCCTGGATGCTTCTGTTCTCTGACTCCTGTTCCTGTTTTCTCCTTCCTGGCTGTTGCATTGAGAATGGTCTGGAAATGGTTCCTTTGTCTTAACCAGATCCTCTCCCTGCTTCTTCCTTTAACACCATCAATAGCTGCCAGCTGCAGGACGCCTGAGAGCACAGCAGGTCCATCCTCACTGTGAGGGTGCTGAGGTGCTGGCACAGGGTGCCCAGAGAAGCTGTGGCTGCCCCATCCCTGGCAGTGTTCAAGGCCAGGTTGGACACAGGGGCTTGGAGCAAGCTGCTCTAGTGGAAGGTGTCCCTGCCCGTGGCAGGGGTTGGAACTGGATGAGCTTTAAGGTCCTTTCCAACACAAACCAGGCTGGGATTCTATGAACTTCTGAAGCCACTAGGACAAGGACAAGATGCTGGTTTTCCTCCACCTAATGAAGAACTTTTCCTTCCTACCCCTGTGTCTCTCTCCCCTTTTGTGCAAAGACCAGTTCCCTCCTGCACTGTAGCTGTGACAGTGACATTAGGAGAGTTAAAACCCATCTGTGCTCGTGGTGTGGGTCCAACAGCCCTCCCAACAGTCGTGCACTGAGAACAGTGCAGTCTCTGTAGCTGGCACAGCAACTGCGTCAGCTGTCAGGGCAGGGGCTTTCCTTTGCAATTGAAACCAGATAAAAGGATGTAGGCCAGAGGCATGTTGTGAGATGGGGGTGGAAGGAGGAGAAGGTGTCCTGCAGCCCTGGCTGCCTGCTCAGCTCCTGAGCCTGGGGTGCAGTCCTGCTGCCTCCATCCACATGACAGGCAGGTTGCTTCCAACTGCCTCACAGCTCCGTGTCTTCTGCCCATCTGTGTTAGGTGATGATTAGCACTGGGTCATCCCCAGACTGCTGCTTCTTCAGAAATGGGTTGTATCTGGGGAATGCATTTGAGCTTAGGGCTCTGCTTTCCAAAGGGGTGGTCTGTGCCCATCCCTGGAACAGCAAGTCCAGCAGATCCTGTGTCTTTGAGTTAATTTTCCTGGTTATCAAAGGTTGCTTTCCCTGGTGAGCACACTCTCACCATGCAGTTGGCCTGTGTAATGCTGAAGGTCACTCTGTGGGCCATATTCTGGCTCTGTGCTCTGCACCCAGCTGGCCAATGTGCAGGGGTGGTCTCTGGGTGCCCAGGGAAGGTGATAGCAACAGGCAGCACTTTGCTCAGAGGCTTCTCCTGGCCTGCCCAGGATCCAAGTGCTCTCCAAGCTGCTGGGATAGTTTCCCAGCATCTCTGTCTGCAATTCCTGGTGTAGATCCTGCACTTCTCCACTTTCACACCCTCTCTGTGGATTTTTAACAGGGAAAAAAGACGGAGAGCTCACAGAGACTCCATCCTAAGGTATTTACACCCAGCACTTTCTTCTTCCTTGTGGCATCTCCCTCTGCACCCCCTTCCTAACTGCTCTGACTGCACAGCCACACGTGCCTTCCTAACCAGGCTACCAGCGGTTGCATGTTAGTGATAGACACCACTCACTGCTTGGCCAGAGCTGCTCACGGTTTCAGGGTGAATGCGGTGGCACCAACTTCGCTGCCAGAGATAAATCTGCATCCATGAACCCCCCTGAGTGCACGTCAGGGTGCTGAGGAGGGGAGATGCACAGTTCCTGGGGTGTGCTGCCAGTGTGTCCATGATGCTCGTCTCTCTGCCTTCTAAAGCAGCTCTTGCAGCAGACTCCCCTTTGTGGTGATGCTGGTGGGATCACCCACAGCTCCCTGGCTGCAGCAGCAAACCTGGAGCTCCAGACCCAACCTCTGGACTCTGCCCATCCCATCCAAGGAGCTGCAGCCTCAGGACCCCAGGAGCAGCAGGCAGAGGCAGGCCTGGCCTCCAGGCCTGGGTGCTGTGTTGTGGATCTCACCTCCTCCCTGGGGCAGTGGAATCTGGGTGCTAAAATGGAGGGATCCTTCAAGGAGGGATGCAAGAAAGCAACAGTTGGATGGGCTGGTGGGAGCCTACCTTGGGCTTCTTTGACCTGGTGCCTTGCTGGGAGCTTGCTGGTGGGGACAGCCTTGTGGAAACTGCTTTCCCAGGTAAAGCCCTGGGGATTTGTGGGAGCTTTCCAAGCAGGCTCTGATATGCTGGGCTGTGAAGCGTCTGGTATCCCCGGCACCACATGTGCTGGACCATGGGATCCTGGTGCCTCCAGATGGCCCATGAACATCTTTAGGGCTGCAGAGAGTCACTGTGTGGCCCATGGCTGCTTTCCATGCCCCACAACCCAACTGAGCAGGCTGTAGCTCTTTTAGGACAAGATGTGCCCCATGTGGGAGCTGCAAGGCCCAGGGTCAGTGTGGGAAGTGGAGCTCTGTGCTGGGGAGCTGCTGCCCCCAGACTGCTCTGAGGGAAGGTGAGATGGTAGAGCTGGGTCTTGCACTGCCCTGTGCCACCCTGGAGGGGTAGCAGCCAGCACAGCTCTGGGGTTGACCTGTAACCATCAGCCACAAGCCTCGGTGGCTCTGGTACACCTCTGGCATTTTCAAGCAGCAGCCTTTGGCAGCCAGTGCTGGGTGACGGTTCAGTGATGGAGCAGTCACTTCTTATCAGGGTAATTGCCTTAAAATCCAAATAACAGGTTTTGGGGGGTCTGCAGTGTGAGCCCAATGTGTTCCTGTTTGTCTGGGCCATGCTGCCATCGGAGCCCCTGCAGTGTGTGTGGCTGTGCTCAGTGTTTGCTGCTTGGCTGCTTCACTGCAGCCCAGGAGGAGCCTGTGCTGTGAGAGCACAGGGCAGCCCTCTCCTGGCTGCTGAGAGGGATTTAGCAGCATTGCCAGTGCTTCAGGTATGTGCAGACACTGTTTGGTTTTCCTTGTGGCTGTGCCTGAGAAAAGGAGCTTCTGGAGTGAGAGCTGCAGCTCTGGTGCATGGTTTGCAGGAGGCAGCTCTCGGACAGAAGCTGTGCTGTGAATATCTGTCTCAGTGGTCTGTGAGAGGAATGAAGCTGGGGCTGCACCCTCAATGGCTTTGGGGTTTGTTTCTACTCTTCTGCTCTCCTCAGATCCCCTGGACCCCAGGTAGAGACATGTGGTGGCACGAGCTGATGAGCGGCGCCAGCACGGACTGCGAGCCCGAGTGGTGCGACTCGGAGGACAAGCTCTTCATCCTCTACACCAGTGGCTCAACTGGGAAACCCAAGGTATGCTTTTCCCAGCTCACCCCCAGAGCTGGCCTGCAGTAACATGTAGGAAGTGGCCAGGCCACGCTGGGAGGCCCCAGTAAGAGGAGCCACAGAAATCTTAGAAAGGAGCTGTGCTGGTCATTCCATCACTCAGTGGACCAGTGATGCTCAGCTTGGCCTGGGAGGGTGAGGGCCCTGCGGGGAGCTAACCCTGACAGTTGTGGGCCTTCTTTTTGCAGGGTGTGCTGCATACAGTGGGTGGATACATGCTTTATGCTGCCACCTCGTTTAAATACGTGTTTGATTACCAGCCTGAGGATGTCTACTGGTGCACAGCTGACATTGGATGGATAACGGGTCATTCCTACATCACCTATGGACCCTTGGCCAACGGGGCAACCAGTGTGATAGTAAGTGCTGACTGGTAGCTGGATGCTTTTACTCCAAGAAAGCGGAGAGGGTGGTGCTGAGCTGCATCCCTGCATTGCTCTGTGATGAACATGCTTCTCACTTGTGTGCAGTGCCTTGGGATGTGCAAGGAAGGGTGGTGGTCCCCAAGGAGGACATGGTGACAGCTCGGGGACAGCCGTTGTGTGCTTTTGGGGGGTTAACTTTTCAAGTGCTCCCTGGTTGTTTTCCCTTAGAAGTACAAGCCTTGGGGAGCCAGGGGAGCTAGGGCTGCTGTGAGGTAATGGGAAAGCTGGACCAGGAGCAGGGAATGATGTTTTCCCTGCTGATGCTGATGGCACACCCTGCATTTAACATCTCCTGTGACAGTGTGCTGCTGTAACTTGTATCAGAGGGGCAAGGCCTGTGTCCTAGGCTCCCTGGGGAAATGTGAGCAGGAAAATCACTGTCATGTTGAGGGAGTCCTTCTTGGGGTTCTTGGTACTTCTGGTTGTGTTTCTGTCACTGTGTTTAGACCTCTTGCCACTTACCGTGTGGGCATGGGTCATTTGGGCTGGTGAGTGGTAACACAGAGCCTGTGCTGCTGGGTAGTTTGGGTGACATTTGCTAGGACACCTGGGGTGGGTGATGCCAGATCCACCCCAAAGAAGCAGTAAGAGAGGTCCCTGGGCTGGGTTGATTCCATGCATGGTGCCCCTGTCACTGCCCTGTCCCCTCTCAGTTTGAAGGTGTCCCCACCTACCCTGACGTCGGGCGGATGTGGAGCGTCGTGGACAAGTACAAGGTGACCAAGTTCTACACAGCACCCACGGCCATCCGGCTGCTCATGAAGTACGGGGACGAGCCCGTCAGAAAGTGAGTGCCAGTCCCCAGAGCACAGGGATTCCTGCACAGCCAGAGACAGCAGTGGGGGGAAGGAACCCCAGGTTCCTCTGAGCAGAAGCTCTGGGGCAGCAGCACAAGAGGGATGTGGAGCTGTTGGAGCGAGGCCAGAGGAGGCTACGGAGATGCTGCAAGGGCTGGAGCAGCTCTGCTCTGGAGCCAGGCTGAGAGAGCTGGGCTGGGGCAGCCTGGAGAAGAGAAGGCTCCTGAAGGGGAGACCTGAGAGCAGCTCCAGTGCCTAAAGGGGCTGCAGGAAACCTGGAGAGGGGCTTTGGACAAGGGCCTGTAGGGACAGGCCAAGGGGAATGGCTTTCACCTGCCAGAGGGGAGACTGAGACGAGCTCTTAGGCAGAAGCTCTTCCCTGTGAGGGTGCTGAGGCGCTGGCACAGGGTGCCCAGAGAAGCTGTGGCTGCCCCATCCCTGGCAGTGTTCAAAGCCAGGTTGGACACAGGGGCTTGGAGCAAGCTGCTCTAGTGGAAGGTGTCCCTGCCCGTGGCAGGGGTTGGAGCTGGATGAGCTTTAAGGTCCCTTCCAACACAAACCATTCTATGATTCCCCAGCAGATTTTCTGAGCAGATCAGGATCTTCTGCCTTACAGCAATATGCAGGCCATGTTTCTGTACCCCCAGCACTGACTTCATCATGGCACTTCTGAGCATGCCCTCTTCCAATGTAAGCTGCAGTTAAGTTCAGACATTGTAGGTTCTCCTTACTCCTGACCCAAAGCTCACAGAGGTGTGCTGGGCAGAGAGCTGCTCCTTGGCCCAGGGATGAGCAGAGCCAAGTGGGAGCTTGGAGTGGGAGACACCAGAATCACAGATGTCTCCATTCTTCCCCCATGGAAGAGGGCTGAGAAGGGTCTGAACCATGCCTGGAAGCTCCAAGTACAGTCTGGGGGTACCCCAGGGGCTCCTGTAGTCTCTGCTGTGCAGCAGGCTCAGAGCTGCTGCCCTCCATGGCCTGCTGAGCCCCTGCCAGCCCCCTCCTCTCTGCAGGCACAGCAGGAAGTCTCTGAAGGTGCTGGGGAGCGTTGGTGAGCCCATCAACCCTGAGGCCTGGCTCTGGTACTACCGCGTGGTGGGAGAAGAGAGGTGTCCCATTGTGGACACGTTCTGGCAGACAGAGACAGTGAGTGCTCACCTTAGTGCCCCTGGGGCCTCTCTTTCCCTTGTGCCCCCTGCAGGGTGCTGGCAGCTTTGCCATGCTGTTTCTTTGGTTCTATGGGCACTGGTTGTTCTGCTTGCCCAGGAGACTCCAGGCTTGGAGTGCAAGTGTTGGTTCCCCTTCTCCTCTTTCTTTCCTGGACCTCAGGCAGGCTCCAAGGGGAAACCTTCTTCTCCATAGGGTCCCTGTCAAGGTCTGTTCTGGACCCTGCTGTCTTGCCCTTTTTTCTCTCCCCCAACAGCTCCAAAACTTTGTGCCCAGACACAGGCCCCCAACCCCTACTTTATCGTTCACAAGGCCCTGTCTCCACAACTACCCTGAGCAGCCTGTGTCTGATGTGGTGTGATCAGAGCTGATGCAGACAGCGTGGGACAGGCTGGCATGGCCCAGACTCACTCGGTTTTCCCTCTCTTTGCAGGGTGGCCACATGCTGACACCGCTCCCTGGTGCCACCCCCTTGAAGCCAGGCTCTGCTGTGAGTACTGCTGCTCTCCCCGCCGAGGGGCAGGGGGGCTCCCCAGGGCACTGCAGCAGCAGTTGGCACTGCCTGTACCATGGCCTGGTGGTTTCCAGCCTCTCAGGGTGGTTGTGGGACCATGGTACATGCAGGGAGGTGGCCCCATGTGCCACAGCCTCTGCAGAGCTGCCCTTGCTCTGCCTCCCAGGGGTGGCTCATGGCTCACCTCCACGTCTCCTTTCTCTCTGGTCCCCGTGGCAGACGTTACCTTTCTTCGGTGTGGTCCCTGCTGTCTTGAATGAGTCAGGGGAAGAGCTGGAAGGAGAAGCAGAAGGCTACCTGGTAAAGATGATCTCACCCTCCTCTTGTCCCTTCCCTGGGCCTTCCTGGTAGCATACACATGTTTCTGTTTACTCTGGGTCCACACAAGGGACCCACTTCTTGGGTGGCAGGAACTTTCTTCACTGCCATAGCTTGCTGGGAGCTTTCTGCTGTAAGTAAACTGTTCAGCTGATGGTTAAATGCAGGAGGAGGGGGAAAACATTTCAGCCAAGCTCCTTCCCCCATGCCTGGTGAGGCTTTCCCAGTAGATCTACACTGGGCAGCAGGTGCCCAGGTGTCATCACTCCTGGCTGTCTCTGGCATCTTTTACCACTGCATGTTCATTGGTAGGATGAGAGAGCTGGGCTGGTTCAGCCTGGGGAAGAGAAGGCTCCTGAAGGGGAGACCTGAGAGCAGCTCCAGTGCCTAAAGGGGCCGCAGGAAACCTGGAGAGGGGCTTGGGACAAGGGCCTGTAGGGACAGGACAAGGCGAATGGCTTTAACCTGCCAGAGGGGAGACTGAGATGAGCTCTTAGGCAGAAGCTCTTCCCTGTGAGGGTGCTGAGGCGCTGGCACAGGGTGCCCAGAGAAGCTGTGGCTGCCCCATCCCTGGCAGTGTTCAAGGGCAGGTTGGACACAGGGGCTTGGAGCAAGCTGCTCTAGTGGAAGGGGTCCCTGCCCGTGGCAGGGGTTGGAACTGGATGAGCTTTAAGGTCTCTTCCACCCAAACCAGGCTGGGGTTCTGTGTTTCATCCTATGCAAAGCCTGTGTCCATCTCAGCATGGCAGAGCTTGGGCTGCTGGTGTTGCTCTCTCTGACTCAGGTGTGTTCTCAGGTGTTCAAGCAGCCCTGGCCAGGGATCATGCGCACGCTCTATGGGAACCACTTGCACTTCGAAGCGACCTACTTCAAGAAGTTCCCTGGGTACTATGTGACAGGCGATGGTAGGTTGGGGAGCACACAGCTGCAGAGGCCTGGGGCAGCAGTCTCAGTCCTGGCAGGCAGTGGCTGGGTGCTGGCACTGCTCCTCACCCTGGCATTTCTGGCTATTTTTAGGTTGCAGGAGAGACAGAGATGGTTATTACTGGATCACAGGGCGAATGGATGACATGCTGAATATTTCTGGTAAGAAGTTTTGTCTTCAACATGCTTTCTGACACTGCTTGAGAGACACCTTGGGGGGACACTTGCGCATCCATCCCTGACACTAGTTATAAATACACCTTGGTTTATGGGGGCTGGTTCTGCATCATGACTCTGCCCAGCAACTTGCCCTCAAGTGGATCTGACTGCTGGGTCATCTTTCTGAGACACGTGTCTGTGACTTGGTGGCTTTCTGCACCATTTCCTCTGGAGACGGTGCACTGCAGGGAAGGAACCTTCTGTAACCACTCGGAGGAGATCCTTAAACCAGCCAAGTGCCTCTGTGCTGAAGCGTTTTGGGGCACAGGGAATCACAGAGGTTGGGCAAGACCACAGGGCCAATCTTGAAGCTGAATCAGGCTGCTTGGAGTTGTTTCTACAGAGGGTAGAGATTGTTCCACCTCTCTTGAGGGAGTCTGAGATTCAGCTGCTTCTCAGCCCATCATTATCCATATACTGCATTTAATAGCTTCTTCCCTGGAGGCTGTAGCCTGTAGGTACTTACTGCTGGCTGTGAGATGCTGCTGTACTTGTCCCTGCATCAAACTAAATCCTTTTATCTGACCAGCAGTGCTTGATCCTCCACCTGATCATTCTGGGGGTCAATCTCCTTCTAGTGGTTTTCTGTGGCAGCATTTCCAGGGTGGAATGTCAGAGTGCAGCAGCTGGGGTACAGGAGGGAGTTGCGCCCCTGCCCCGAGGTGTGAAGCATCACATCGTCCCCACGCAGCCATGAGCTGGGCAGTGCATTGCAGCCTCTTCCTCCTCTGCACCTTCCAGCTCCCCATGTGGGCCGGTCTCTTACCGCATCCTGCTCCTCCTCAGCCTGTGCTCTGTGCTCCCATGGCTGTGAGCAGTTCCTGGGCTGGTCAAGAAGCCCAGAGGTGGGAGTGGGGGCAGCCAAGGGAGCTGGCCTTGCTCTGCAGGTGGCTGATACCTGGCAGCCTTTGGGGTTTCTCTCTCCAGCCGTTGTCTTTTCTCAAGCACGTGGAATTGTTGCTCTCAAACCCATAGTTTCGGGCCTTCTCCCCCCTCCTTCCAGCAGCTGGAGGCTGCAGGACCTCACCTCACCCATGCAGGTCTAAAACTCTGCCTCTTTGCTCCCAGGCCACTTGCTGAGCACGTCAGAGGTGGAGTCAGCCTTGCTGGAGCACCCGGCTGTCTCGGAGTCTGCAGTGGTCAGTCACCCCCACTCCCTGAAGGGAGAGTGCCTCTACTGCTTTGTCACCCTGAGGCTTGGCTACGAGTTCACCAAGAGCCTGGAAGATGAGCTCAAAAAGCAAGGTACCACCAGCCAGGCCTGGGGAGGTGCGGGATGGGTGCTGCAGGGTTTGGGAGTGTGGGGAATGCAGTGAGGACAAGTGTGACAAGGTGCCCCTCTGAGCACAGAGCACGGCTGGCAAGCACTAAAATTAGTTCTTGAGCCTTTGGCTGCACATGTGATGCCCTCTGGACCTCCTGGGAGGGGAGTTGGCAGCTCCGTGAAGGACTGGGGTGCCCAGAGCCTTGTTAAGCTCTTCTCTGTGGGCACAGCTCCCAGTGGCTCCCCTGGGCACATCCTGACTTGCTGAGAGGTTGCTGGGTGCTCTGGGGTGGTTGTGCTCTGGTCTCAAGGGAGCCCTTCTTTCATGGCCACATCAGACATGAAAATGGACCCTTGGCAGTCTCCTGTCTGGAGGAACCCAACAGCAAATCAGCCCTTGCTCTGTCAAAACGATGTTTAGTGCTGGCTGTAGCCATTGGAGAGGTCTCCTGAGGATGGAGAGGATGAAAAGATGAGCGCTGCTGCCTTTGGCAGGATGGGCTTATGGCCCCATCGGCATTGCAGGTCTCGCTGCCCCCCGCCTGCAGCCTGGAGGCATGGGTGCAGCAGCTCTAAGCCCTGCCCTGTGGCTGGGCTGTGCATGTCATGGTCCTCCTGCCGCAAAAGGGAGCTGTGTGGTGCCTCCTCCTACCTGCACTTAACATCTCTCCCTTCTTTGTAGTCAGAGACAAGATTGGACCGATCGCAACACCTGATTACATCCAGTATGCCCCCGGGCTGCCCAAGACCCGCTCAGGTAGGGAAACCAGCCCTCAACTGCTTGTCCAGGGCCACCCAGAGTCAGGGGGGAGCAACCTCAGGGCAAAGAGGATGCTGCAGGCCTGGGCACTCCCCACTCGTGCTGAGGATGCTGAGGAGATGCTGACTCTGCTCCCCTCTCCTGGCTGTTGTTACAGGGAAGATTACCAGGCGGATCTTAAGGAAGATTGCCAGGAATGACCATGACCTGGGGGACATGTCCACCTTGGCAGACCCGAGCATCATAGACCAACTCTTCAACAACAGATGTGACACTGGCCAGTAGCATCGGCCCTGCTGTGGCAGCACAGTGTCCTGTGAGCAGGTCCCAGCTGCCTGCCCCGGGGTATGGACCTTCACCCATTGAGTTGAATGTACAAGTGTTTGAAGAAGGGACAGGTTCTGGAGAGGCCACTTCTCACTGGTGTGTCCCTGCCTCAGAGTGAGTGCATCCTGTTCCACATGGGAGCTGTACACGTGAGGCTGAGCCTCACGCACAGGGGCACTCCTCCTCCTCCCTTTCCAGCACCTCCTTCTTGATGTTTCAGTTAGTTGGGGCTGGGGTTGTTGGTTAACTTTACGTAATTGAGGGGGGCTGGCACCTTGTGCACAGTGGGAAGGAACACTGGGGTTTGGAGGGGAGCTGGAGCTGGAGTAACTTGATGCAGGCAGGGAAGGGAGTTGCAGCCCCCACAGGCCCAGCTGAGCTCCCTCTTTCTCCTTGGAGCACTGCAAAGCACATTACAGCTGTGCAGCTGAGCCTCCGTCTTGCATCCACTGTCGAAGCCTGCTGTTAGCAGGGGTCCTTGAGCCTGAGAGGGAGTGGGGCAAGGCTGAGGGGGCACTGTGCTTTAAACAGCTTGCTTAGAGCAATGGGGTACCAAGATCTGCTGCTTCCCAAGTGCACAGTGCCAGGGGCTGTGTTTTACCCAACCCAAGGTCCTGCATTGGCCGTGGACACGACACAGAGCCACGGATGGTCAAGGAGAAGCCTTGGTGTGATGTGCTCCACAGAGCTCACAGCTGAGCTTGGGCTGATGCTCCTCTTGTGTCCTGGGGTGGGAACGGGTGCTGTGGTACCCAAGGCAGGGAGCCCGTGCAGAGGCCACCGAGGCAGGCAGGGCAGTTAGTGCTGGTGTTTCATCAAGAGGAAGATCATTGTGGAAGATGTTTAAAGTTGGCTTTTGTTTAAACGTATCAGGGATTTAAGATGTTGAGATGGAAAAAGAACCCCAAAACCCATAGCCCAAGAGCCTGAACATCACAAGGGCACTGCCAAAGCCATTCTTCTTCCAGTGAAGTACATTTAACTCCAGCCCTGTGTTGAGCTACCTCCTCTGTAATGTCTGTATAAACACTGCATGTGAGCTGTTTGATTTTGCACTTAAACCAAAGGAGAAACGGGCTTTAAAACGTGCTGCAGCAGTCGTAGAGGCTTTACCTGCAGCTGAGCAGAGTGGGGTGGGTGAGGCAGTTGCCTCTGGGGCTGGTTGCTGTAGTCCAAAGCCTATGGCTGACTCCTTACCTGCTGCTCCTGCTAGCACAGCCCTTGTCTGTGATCCATAACCTGCGTGTGCAGTCCCCCACAACTCTCTACCACTGGATTGTGCCACCTTGTTCCTGTTCACTCAGTTACTGTCCTCAGTTACTGTTCACTGTGTCATGTTGGCTGGAAACAGCTCGAGTTTTATGGAATAAAGTTCAAGGAAACAAAATGGAAATGGGCTCAGAGTGTGGGCTAGAGTTAGAGGCTGTGACTGCCTGTGCTGCTGCTGGGCACTGGGGCAAGGGCAGAGATTCAGTTTCTCCCTGGGCTCCAGCCAACGTTATTCCATTGAGGCTCACAGAAAGCACAAGACTGTGACACCCATCTGACACCAACACCACAGGAGCTCAGGGCTCGCTTCTACACCAGGCCTGGTCCTCATGCAGGCACAGCACTGGGTACCAGCCTCTGCCTCCATGCTCTGGTCCTGTGTCAGCTGCAGGGCCACGCTCCATCGCTGCGCTCCTGCTCCTCACAACTGGTCCAGCCTTGCCCCTTCCCCTGCTGCTCCAGCTCACAGCATCCCAGCTCCGGGCTCAGCATCTCCTCCTGGAGATGTGTCCTGCCTGGCAGCCCTCACACCAGCTGCAGTGCCAGGACCCACCTCCACCACGGTGCACCCACAGCACAAAGGGATGGGCTGGCTTCAGCCGTCCCCAGCTCAAGGTACACAGAAGGACTGTGCACACGTGGACCCCTGCCCAAAGCAGCCCGGGCACCCAGGAGGAAGCCCCTGGCTCTCTGCACCCAGCATCACACAGAACAGGCACAGGAGCAGTGCTCAGATTGCACATCATGTTTTAATGTGTGGCTGGGGGCAATCACCCCCCCAGTGCCACAACCCCCAGGAATGTCGAACCGCTCCCCCTCAGACAGGAGTGACCACTGAGGTGCACAGGGACAGCAGCAGTGCTGCACTGGCACTCAGCACAGTCAGGCTTCAGGAGTAGTGGCTTTAATCTGCTCCTCTGGTGTCACCACAAGGGTAGAGCTGAGGCTGCTTTAACCAAGGCACTGCTGGAAAGGTGCATTGTGATTGCTTCCCCTCGAACTGCTCAGCTGAGGAGGAAGAGGGGCTGGAGGAAGAGTAAGACTTTGGGAAGGAGAGGCTGGGCTCGCATCCCTGCACTGCTGCTGTTCCCAGCCCATGAAACCTGGAGGGTGACACGTCGTGCCCTGTGCTGGTCCCAGAGGGAAGCATCGGCAGCAAGGCTGCACCCGCTCAGCCTCTCCTGTAGTTCCTTTGCTTCCTCAGCACAAAGCTCCCAGGTCCCACAGAGCCATTCACTGAGGCTGGGGCTCCCTGACACCCCTTTGTGCTGTAAGTGCTGCAGCAGCCCGGGCAGGAGCTGCTCAGTGCAGGACTTGCAGTGGGAGGCACTGGAGATTTGGGGTTTATGGGCACAGTGATAAAGACTCCAATTCCTCATCAGCACTGGGGGGTCTCGGATGCAGCCTGCCTGCTGCCTGCCTCGTGCGGCACAGGGGCACGCTTTGGGTTTGTGTCTCCAGAAACAGCATCACGGAGCACACAGCCAGGAGCAGCACAAGTGCCTGCTGTGGCTCCCAAGGGACAGCCAGAGCCGTGCTGTCCTGGGAGGCCACGGGTGGGATATGCAGGGGCAGGGACATGTGCAGGGGAGCCCCTTTGTCCTGCAGAGAAGCTGGGGCTGGTCCATGGGGCGACTGAGCAGTGGTGTCCTCCGAGCCCTTCCTCACTGTCCCCAGCAGGTCAGGCCTTGGCAAGCGCACCCCAAGAACAGCCTGGGGCAGCTCAGCTCCTGAGGCAGCAGCGGGACGGGGTCACCTCCTCACACCAGGTAAGGGGTGTCCAGCACAGCCACCCCCGCTGCCACCCCCCCATCCGCGTGCTCCACCGCCTTTGTGCGCAGGAGGTGCCCAGCGGCCTCGTTCAGCACCAGCTCCGAGCCCCGTCTGCAAAGGAAAGGGCAGGTGAGCACCGCACAGCACAGAGCTTGCTCCAAGTCCCTGTGTCCAACCTGCCCTTGAACACTGCCAGGGATGGGGCAGCCACAGCTTCTCTGGGCACCCTGTGCCAGCGCCTCAGCACCCTCACAGGGAAGAACTGCTTTCTTATATCCAACCTGGTCTAATTTCAGCTTGGACGGTGGGATTCGTGTTCCCCAACCCAGTGCAGGGCAGGTAAAACCCCTAGGGCTGATGCAGAGGTGTCTGCACGCAGCAGAGCTGTGCCCTGCCCTCTCTGTGCCTTCCCTCAGCAGTGCTTTGGGTGACTGCACACACAGTGCCAGGTTCTGAATGCTGCCAGAGTACATTTGTGTCTAAAATTATACCAGAAAGACTTGAACTGAGAAGCTCTGGAACCATTTCAATGGGCCTATGAGGGTTTTAAACAAAAGCAGCAGCTACTTAGGGTTGAAAATTCAGCCTTCAGGTACTCCTGCACTAGTCAGGGCTTTAGAGAAGCACGTGGCTGCACCAGGGACCTGAGCAGTGCTCCCAGAGCAGGGATGGGCACACCAGCTCCATGTGGCTGTTACACCCATCACTGCCAGCACCGGCTCACTGGCAGGGGGGCCAGAGCAGCAGTGCAGGGTCTGAGCAGTGCTCAGAGCTGCTGCCAGGGCAGAGGCTGCACGGGCAGGGCTGTTCCTGCACCTCCTGCACCCTGCAGACATCAGCCCTGCTGCTGTGCTCACACTGCAGAGGGGAGAATGCTCCCAACCCCAGTGCTGGCTGGGGCAGGAAACCACCCTGCAGTACAAGCACGTTCTCACCTGACATAGACACCGAAAATCCCCAGCTCTGAGATGCACTCAGACACTTGCAGGGAGCTGTGAGCCCTCAGCAGGTAATTCATGGCTGGCCGTGGCTTGATCTTATCCATCAGGATGTAGGAGGTTCTCTGAGGGCTGTCTCTGATCTTCTCCAGAACCTGCCTGAGCTCTTCACCATAGAGGTTGTTCCCTGACAACAAAACCAGCAAGTCAAGGACTGCCAAGCACAGCAGAAACCCCTGGCCCCAGCTATGCAGCCCCAGCAGCCAGAGACCGAACCTGGGGCTCCCCATAGCCCAGCTCCTCCACCCATCTTTTATAGACAGCTTTGTGCTGGCAGGGACCTTAAAGCTCATCCAGCTCCAACCCCTGCCACGGGCAGGGACACCTTCCACTAGAGCAGCTTGCTCCAAGCCCCTGTGTCCAACCTGGCCTTGAACACTGCCAGGGATGGGGCAGCCACAGCTTCTCTGGGCACCCTGTGCCAGCGCCTCAGCACCCTCACAGGGAAGAGCTTCTGCCTAATATACAATCCCATACTGGTTTGGGTTGGAAGGGACCTTAAGGATCATCCAGTTGCAACCCCCTTGGCAGAGGACCAGGAGCCACCACAGAGCTACCACCCCTCCTGCTCCAGCATGAGCAGCAGTGAAGCCCCACATGGGCTCAGCTCATACCTCCACCTTCTCGCTGTGGCTTCAGCACGAAGCAGTCAGGGTCGGCAATTGCCATAGCAGCCGCCTTGTCCCCATCTGCACCCTGTCAGGGAGGATGGAACAGCAAAGCATGAGGGAGGAGCAGGGGCTCCCCAGGAACCCCCCTGTGAGCAGGATCAACAGGGTCCCTTGGGGACCACAGCATCTCCTTAACCAGAGAGAAACATCCCACAGGCCAAGCGCATGCCTGCCCGCCTCTCTGTCCCTGCACAGCCCCACTCACCATGTCCAGGGAGTAGAGCCCAGCAAAGGTTGCTCTGATCCTCCTGACTGCCTCAGCGTGCCCGGGCAGCAGCCTCTCCAGAGTGCCCGGGCGGCTCAGCTCCTGCTGCACCTTCTTGGTGCCCGCCAGCTGGGTGGCAATGTCAGGGCACTTCACTGCCCGGGACCTCTCCAGCAGCAGCCGAGCCTCCCAGTTCTAAGGCACAAAAAGAGCGCCCATCCCATGAGCAAAGGTTTAACGCTTCACTCCTTTCTGTTCAGTTATGGACACGAGTTGCCCGCTCCCTGCCTGCCTGCCCGGGATGCGAACAGCACCCTGGAGATGCACACATGGATTTCCCCCCACCCCTGGTCCACCTCCTCTGCCATCACCTCCTTCCCAGCTTGTCCAGTGCTGCCACCTGCAGGCAACAGCGAGACCCGGTCCGTATTACGCAGCCTCACAGCCCTATAGCAGAGGACAGCGCGGTCTGTAGATCAAGCCTAAACCCTTTAAGCTGGTGCTAATACCTGTGCTAACCCCTATTGTACAGAAGCAGTTCAGTGCTGCGGTAAGAAAGCCACTCGTTTTGCTTACTGTATGCCAGGGACACCCATATCACTGCAGCATCACAGCTTCCCGATGCCATTAGCCACGTGGGAGAGGACTGACCCCAACCCTCCTGGACAGCTCACATGCCCCTGCGATCACAGGGCACTTCACACTCACTGGACAAGGCCAGAGCATGGGTGGCTTTCTGGAGCAGAGGGGCCAGCACTGACCTGCTCGTTGTAGTTGCTTGGCACATAGCCCTCTCTGTAGTACACCACTGCTACCTCCTGCCCGTCCCTGGAACACAAACCAGAGGCACTCACAGAACCAGGCCACCCCTACCCGCTGACACCTCACCTCTGCCCATGACCAGCCACAGCCCCCGAGGCTCCAGCCAGCACGGAGGGAAGACCCTTACTTTTCAATAGCTTTTGCCACCAGGAGCCAGGCCTGTGACATGCTGGAAGCTGGGAGGGAACAGGGTCCTTCTCCAGTGGCAATTCGAGGCAGGACATCAACTCAACCACCTGCCCAGGCACCACATCACCCCACCAGGGCAGGGCCACCAGCACCCCTGCAGCACCACACACCC